CCCTTCGAGTTGTTGTGGATGCTCACAGAGCTCAGTGGACAAATGACGGAGTCATTGTGAGGGAGAGGTTTTCTGGTGAGAGGCAATGCCTTGGCTTGGTTCCTGCTGGGCTCACTGCTCTGTTGCTTGGGTGAAGAGAAGCACCTCTCCTCCTGGGGCACGTGGATGAGCTCAACCCAGACCGGCTCCATGTGTTGATTCTGAAGGAAATTCTGGCCCACTAAGTGCTCTCACTAACTGCTGACGCACTGCCTGCTCCAAGGCTGGTCTGAAGTGGAGTCAGCTCATGGCTGCCCTTTCACTCCCCCAGAGCTCCCTTCAGGCCAGGGAGTCCTCGCCTGCTCACAGACTGGAGTCCAGGCTCCCTGAAGCACCAAACCCAATGGAGCAGAGACAGCCTGGTATGGGCCTGGATTTATGCTTCGCAGGGCCCAGGCCAATGAGCATGACTCAGCATAGGGCTGTAGCGCAAGATCCATGCAAGTGCTTCAGGGTGAGGAAGAGCAAATTGTGGTGATAGTGTTCAAACTCTGTTCTAACTTTTCATAAAAGTCATGAGCTTTCAAGCATTGGAAATGGAGATATGGCCTGGGCTGCTGGACCCCATGCTTATTATACAGCTGTGGTACAGGGATGCTGCTGGCCCCCTGCAGCATGGGGGTAACTTGGCCTGGGTAGCTGGAGTGGAAGCAGTGGGCAGGGAGTACCTCCTCCTGCATTTCCTTTTCTAGAACCATCTCCCCAAATCATCTTTGTCTGACATCTCTCAATTTTCATTTCCGCTTCCCTCCATTCACTCCCCAAGGCTCTCCTCCTCCTGAACACCTGAACCTCCATCTGTACAGCATGGTTGTATTTTATGGGGCTGCCTCCCAGCACCTGGAGAAGATCAGGGATGGAGGTGAAGGGGTCAGTTAGGAGGTGGTTTCAGCTGCTAACTAAACAGTCAGCGGTTTGAACACACAAGCCACTCTGCAGGAGAAAAATGTGGCTGTCTGCTTCCGTAAAGATTACAGCCTTGGCAACCCTAGGGGACTCTGTCCTATAAGGTTGTTATGTGTCAGAATTGACTTGGTGGCAACAGGTTCTGGCCAGCTAGTCCAGAGGCAGCAAGGGCCTGAAGGAAGGCAAGGCCAGGAGTGGGGTTGGGATAGGATGGAAAGGAGGGGTGAAATGAGAGATTACCTTGTAGGCTTTGGAGATGATTAGATGTGAGGAGAAGGTGTTTAGGATGTTACTCAGGTTTGCAGTCATAGACATAGCAAGGCATGGGAAGATACCTGAGAGAAGCGTCGAGGAGTTTGATTTCGGATGTGCTGAGTTTGAAATGTCTGTGGAGTGTCCAAGATACCTGGGTGGCACAAACAGTTCAGCAGTTGACTATTGACTGAAAGGTTGGCAGTTTAAACCCACCCACTGATGTCTCAGGAGAAAAGACCTGGCAGTCTGCTGTAGAAGTCACAGTCTTGCAAACCTAATGGAGCACAGTTGTACTCTGACACACACGAGGCCTCATGAGCTGGGGTTCACTCAAAGGCAACTGGACTCTGATTTGTGGAACTTCCAGGCAGAGATGTCCAAGAGGTTGTTAGAGGAGTGAATCTAAAGCTAAATGGAGAAATCTGGCTGGAGATAGAGAGAGATGCGCTAGAGACAGGGAGAGTGAGAGAGACATAGATAGAGATAGCGAGACAGAGAGAGAGAGAGATGCAGAGAGAGAGATGAGCTGGAGACAGGGAGAGTGAGAGAGAGACATAGATAGAGATAGTGAGACAGAGAGAGAGAGAGATACAGAGAGAGATGCGCTGGAGACAGGGAGAGTGAGAGAGACATAGATAGATAGCGAGACAGAGAGAGAGATAGATGCAGAGAGAGATGTGCTAGAGACAGAGAGAGTGAGAGAGACATAGAGATAGCAAGACAGAGAGAGAGAGAAATGCAGAGAGAGAGATGCGCTGGAGACAGGGAGAGTGAGAGAGACATAGAGATAGCGAGACAGAGAGAGAGAGAGATGCAGAGAGAGAGATGCGCTAGAGATGGAGAGTGAGAGAGACATAGATAGAGATAGCGAGACAGAGATGGAGAGATGCAGAGAGAGATAGGTGCTGGAGACAGGGAGAGTGAGAGAGAGAGACATAGAGATAGCGAGACAGAGAGATTCAGAGAGAGAGATGCGCTAGAGACGGAGAGTGAGAGAGACAGAGATAGCGAGACAGAGATAGAGAGATGCAGAGAGAGGGATGTGCTGGAGACAGGGAGAGTGAGAGAGAGACATAGATAGAGATAGCGAGACAGAGAGAGAGATAGAGAGATGCAGAGAGAGATGCGCTGGAGACGGAGAGAGAGAGAGACATAGAGATAGCGAGACAGAGAGATAGATACAGAGAGATGTGCTAGAGACAGGGAGAGTGAGAGAGAGACATAGATAGAGATAGCAAGACAGAGAGAGAGATGCAGAGAGAGAGATGCACTGGAGACAGGGAGAGAGTGAGACAGAGAGACATAGAGATAGCGAGACAGAGAGAGATAGAGAGATGCAGAGAGATGCACTAGAGACAGGGAGAGAGAGACATAGAGATAGCGGGAGAGAGAGAGTCATAGAGATAGCGAGACAGAGAGAGATGCAGAGAGAGAGATGCACTGGAGACAGGGAGAGTGAGAGAGACAGAGATAGTGAGACAGAGAGAGAGATGCACTGGAGACAGGGAGAGAGTGAGAGAGACATAGAGATAGCGAGACAGAGAGAGAGATACAGAGAGAGAGATGTGCTGGAGACAGGGAGAGTGAGAGAGACAGAGATAGTGAGACAGAGAGAGAGAGATGCACTGGAGACGGAGAGAGTGAGAGAGACAGAGATAGCGAGACAGAGAGAGAGAGACAGAGATGCAGAGAGGTGCTAGAGACAGGGAGAGTGAGAGAGACATAGATAGAGATAGCGAGACAGAGAGAGAGAGATGCAGAGAGAGAGATGAGCTGGAGACAGGGAGAGTGAGAGAGAGACATAGATAGAGATAGTGAGACAGAGAGATAGATGCAGAGAGAGAGATGAGCTGGAGACAGGGAGAGTGAGAGACATAATAGAGATAGCAAGACAGAGAGAGAGATAGAGAAATGCAGAGAGAGAGATGAGCTGGAGACAGGGAGAGTGAGAGAGAGACATATAGAGATAGTGAGACAGAGAGATAGTGAGACAGAGAGATGCAGAGAGAGACGAGCTAGAGACAGGGAGAGAGTGAGACAGAGATAGCAAGACAGAGAGATAAAAAGAGATGAGATAGAGACAGAGAGAGACAGAGACATAGAGATAGCAAGACAGAGATAAAGATAGAGATACAGAGATAGAGATGAGAGAGAGAGGGAGAGAAAGAGAGAGAGAGATGGCAAGACAGAGATAGATACAGAGATAGAGATGAGATAGAGATGGAGAGAGTGAGGCAGAGATAGACATAGAGATACAAGACAGAGAAAGACACAGAGATACAGACATAGAGATTGGATAGAGACAGTGAGACAGACATAGAGATAGCAAGGCAGAGATAGAGAGATACAGAGATAGAGATGAGGTAGGGAGACAGTAAGAGAGAGATAACGAGACAGAGATAGTGAGATAGAGAGAGATACAGAGATAGAGATGAGGTAGGGAGACAGTAAGAGAGAGATAACGAGACAGAGATAGTGAGATAGAGAGAGATACAGAGATAGAGTTGAGATAGAGACAGGGAGAGTGAGACATAGATAGAGATAGTGAGACAGAGACCGAGATAGTGAGACACAGAGAGATACAGAGATAGAGATGGAGATGGACAGAGAGAGACAGATGCTGGTGCCAGGGTCCCATGTGACAGCCAGGAGAGGTGCCAAGGAGAATTTCTCACCCATTTTTCATCCCACACCTGCCTGTTAAAATGATGGTTGAGTTTCCATTCCATAGTTTGTATCATGGACATAACAGTGATGGTGACAAGACAACACTGGGCCAGCTGCAAGCAGTGTTTTAAGTACTTTACATGTGTTAGCTCTTTTGATATTCACAGCAGTCCTGTTACAGAGGGTCTGTAATTATGTATCCCTGTTTCATAAACGAGGTGACCAAGGGGCAGGAGGTTAAACATGCGGTCAAGGCCACACAGCTAACACGGTGTCGGAGGCAGTCAGGATCCACAGTCCATGCTGGTAACCACTGTGCCATCCATCCATTCACTCAGTAATGTTTGTTGGAGGCTGTCCATGTTCCAGGCTGCATTCTAGGCCCCAGGGACACAGAGGTGACTGAGACAAACTTCCTGCACCTCATGGAGCTCCAGTCCCACTGGGGTAGACAGACAGTGAAGTCAGTGATTAAGTGAGATACTAGTAGGTTGTGATAAGAAGTGTGAGGAACATAGAAGTCAGCAGAGCTGACAGCCTGGGGGTGTGGTGGGGGATGGGTGGTGGGGAGTCTAATGTAATAGCAATGGGGGCTGGGGGACGGGGAATGAGCAGTTTCCAGAGGAATCTGAACAAATTCCATATTCTCTAGAGGTCTTGTGCTGGCTACCAGGAACACCCTGGAGGAAGAGAGCAAGGGAAGGGAAAAGGAGGTGGGGGGGGGTGGGGAAGAAGGAGGAAGAGAGGAAGAGAGGGAGGAAGGGAGGGAGGGAGCAAGGGAAGAAGGGCTTGCTTCCTTCCCGTCAGGGTGGATCAGGGCCCATCACCCCAGAGGCCACAGAGCTGTTTCCACCCATGAAGATGGTCTTCCTCTGAGCATCCCTGCCTGGTGCTGCTCCCTACAGCCGGGGCAAGGTTCTCCTGCCCCAGTGGGCACACAAGTGTCCTTGGAGGCATGGATGAGGGTAGACAAGGGCTTCTCATGACCTGCAAAGAAAACAGAGGGGCCGCTGAATTCTTGAGTGTCCCAGAGGGCGAGTCCTTGCTAGCAGCAGCCTTATAAAGGCTCCCTGGCCAGAGCGACCCTGGCGGGCAGTGGCTTCCACCACCCATCCCGGGAAGGGGCCAGAAAAATGGCCCTGGTTCTGTGGGTCTTTGGTCTGCTGGGCTCAGCCCTCTCAGTGTGGGCCAACATCTTTGGTGAGTTCTGAGCCCAAAGTCATGGAGAGGGGTGTCAGAGAGGGAAGGCTCCTATGTCTTGCCAGGCTCTGTCCCAGGCTTTTGAACATATGTGACCTCATTTTATCCCCACAAGGCTTGGAGGTCAGTTATTTGCTTTCTCCAGTTTGGAAGAAGAGATATAGGTCCAAAGAGGTGAACTGAATTGCCTGAGGTCACAGAGCTAGTGGTTGGCAGAGCCAAGATGGGAAGTCAGACCTTCCTAATTCAAGTCTAGTCACTCTACCACCATTCCCAAGTGGCTTTTGACCAAAATGTTGGCATTGACATTGGTCTTTTAGCTCCTTAGCTACCCTAACACCTAGGTCAGCCATGTGAGGTATTTGTGAGGTAGCCAGCAGGTGGCAGAAAAATTGGTCTGCTTGTGGAGTAAATGGACCTGAGTTCTAGCCTTGACTCAGCCCATCAAAAGCTCGGTAACTTTGGACGAAGTTCCAAAGCTTGGTTGTTGGGAAAGCAAGCAAATGGTTTCGACTTCTGAGTGGGATTGAGCATGGTGCACATGTTCTCAACGGAGAACAAGACCCACCTGAGTTACCCATGATGGGCGCACCTGCTCTGGGCCAGAGAGAGCCATAATCCCTGCAAACACATGCACAGAACCTGGGGACCCTCACCTCACAGCGGCTTGGGGGATCATGGGGTCTAGGGTTTGCTTTGAATCCTTCACGTCCAATCCGTGTGTCCCTGGCAGCTGCCTTTCACTCCTGTGTCTTTGTGCCACATGGCTAGCCTGAAGGTGTCACCTCTCAGAGTAGTTGAGCATGGAGTACACTAATGTCCAGACTTAGAAAGTTAAGAATAGATGCAAAGCTGCAGGTTAACATGTAACAGTTAATGATTAGGATGCCGGGGACCTCGTGTATGTTTAAGGAACGCGGTTCTCCCCTGATGACCCATTGCCCTTCTTGCAGAATACCAGGTGGACGCGCAGCCTCTCCGCCCGTGCGAGCTGCAGCGGGAGAGGGCCTTTCTGGAGCAGGCCGACTTTGTTCCTCAGTGCTCTGCAGATGGCAGCTTCTGGTAAGTCTTACCGCAGGCCGTGGGGCTCAGGGCCCTGGGCCCTTAAGGAGCCCTGCTCCACATCCACAGCCCGTGCTTCTGTCCCCTTTGTCTACATGATGTGGGGCCACTGCTGTTGGGAAGGCACTGCTGTCATTTGGAGGGACTGCCTCTTGGTCCCTGAGGCTAATCGACCCTGGGGCAGAGCAGCTGGGTACATCTGGGAGAGAGACCCCCAACCCTGGGGTCCTCCTAGCCTGGACCAATGACAGCCCTCGTTTCCTGCCAGAGCTTTTACCATAATTCCTTTAAAAAAGCAGTGGAGTGAGCAAATGAGGTGCCCTTCAGGCTCCTCCCCCTACATCCTGTCAGTCTCCTGGAAGGAAGGGGGGGCTGCTCACTTTCTGGTTGACGACTGCCTCCGCCCATCCCAGTTACACAATCTGGGCCACCTGCTGCCCCCTCTGGGATGGACGAACCCTCTCTAAAAGGGCTTTTCCAGCCACCCTAAGAAACTGGGATCCTGGGGTGCCCTCACAACAGAGTAAGGTGATGACAAACAACACGGCCTCCTCTAGGAATTGACAAGAATCCTTGCAATGTACATGCAGTTGACATGACCCAAGTAGCGCCAGGGGACTCATATATTGATAAGATGGATTCGTTGCTGATGGTGCTCTGGGAGAGGCTACTTTCTCTCACCATCTCATGGCTGCGCCTTCCAAAAGCCTCACACACTCTCAAGTGCGGAGAAAGCCCCCTCAGCCCAGCCCCATGCCCATCTCTGGGCTTTATGGGGTGCAGGACAGGAGTTAGGGGATCTTTCGTCTTGGCCAGCTTTACTAATGGACTCTTGACCTCTCTTGTTCCAGCCACTTGCAGTTTCAGACTGGCTGCATTCCTCCTCAGGGGCTTTGCATGGGCTGCTCTCTTCACCCGGAATACCTTTTCCTTCTTCTCAGCCCCTCCTCCCACCTCCCACTATAACTCCTAATCTGGAGGGTCTCATCTAACCACCATTCTCCAGCCCTGGGCAACTGCCCTGCTCTCTCCTGGGCCCTTCGCTCACTGAGGTCTTCATCACTCATTGTGCATGGCTAGGACAGTGCCTGTCCCCTCCCCCGCACTGTGGGTGGATGAGGGCACTGCCTGTCCCCTCCCATCCTTCGTGC